AACAAGCCCACAGGCTCAATGCCCCTTCCTAAGTCAGGGTTTCTGCCACTGACAGAATAGCTTAAAGCTCCAAGCCATGAACAATCACAAATAATAGTAATAGCAATGCTTTTTAACCCTTGCTTCTACGGACAGGCACTGCGCTCTCTGCTTTGTGCATGTCGGCTCATTTGTTCCCCACCAGCACAGTGAGGAGGCGCTGAGTTATCTCCATTTGACTGATGGAGATACTGAGATTGGAGAGGTTAAGGACCTTACTCAACGCTGTGGAGGTAGAAAGTAGTACAAATGGCAAAAACAATACAAAAAGTCTCACTGCAGCATTCTTTGTAAAAGTAAAATCCTGGAAATAACTCATCAACAGGGAAGAAATATTCCTCAATAGGGAACTGATTAAATAAACCCTGGTATGTCCACACAAGGGAGTACTATGCAGCTATGTAAAATAATGAAGATTATATCTGAATACGACGATGGAATGATCTCTAGGACATCTTCTTAAGTAAAAAAAGCAAGATGTAGAACATAAGGTGTAATACACTGTCTTTTATCTAAGAAAGGGGAAAGAAATATATACAAATGTATTCTTGTATTAAAAAAACACCCAGGCGGGCCGGCCCGTGGCTCACTCAGGAGAGTGTGGTGCTGATAACACCAAGGCCACGGGTTCAGATCCCTATGTAGGGATTGGGCCAGTTAGCTCACTTGGGAGAGCGACAACACCAAGCCAACGGTTAAGGTCCCCTTACTGGTCATCTTTTAAAAAAAACCTTAATTGGGCCGGCCCGTGGCTCACTCAGGAGAGTGTGGTGCTGATAACACCAAGGCCATGGGTTCAGATCCCTATGTAGGGATTGGGCCAGTTAGCTCACTTGGGAGAGCGACAACACCAAGCCAACGGTTAAGGTCCCCTTACTGGTCATCTTTTAAAAAAAACCTTAATTGGGCCGGCCCGTGGCTCACTCAGGAGAGTGTGGTGCTGATAACACCAAGGCCATGGGTTCAGATCCCTATGTAGGGATTGGGCCAGTTAGCTCACTTGGGAGAGCGACAACACCAAGCCAACGGTTAAGGTCCCCTTACTGGTCATCTTTAAACACCAAGGCCAAGGGTTCAGATCCCTGTACTGGCCAGCCACCCAAAAAGTAACCCCCCCATGAATATGCTAATTATCCTGATATGATCATCAGACACTGTATACATGTATTGAAATATAACTCTGTACCCACAAACATATATAGTCAATATGTTTGAATTTAAAAACACACACACACACAATGGAAAGATAGGCCCCAAATAGACAAAACGGTAACAAAAAAGAGAAGGAGGAAAGGAAGAAAAGACAGGACTGGAACAAGACTTCTCTGAACACTTTGCTTTCTAGATATGACTTTGGAACCAAGTAAATATTTAATATAACTATAAAACAAAATTAAATAGAAATTTTACAGAAGGAAGGAAGTGAATAGTAATGAGTTTGAACCCAAGTCTGCCCAACCAGAGTCCTTTCTCCTAAGCACATCATTTTGCCTCTCATTAATTACCCCATCTAACAGCAATGAAGTGACCTGGCCAGGCCACCAGAAGGCAGAGATAGGGCCAGACCCCACACCTTTAGGGGCTCCAGGTGGACCTGGTGGTGGTTCTGGGGGCTGTGCCTTTAGTACTTTCAGGAGTTTGTAATCGGCTGCTTTTATCACGATTCTCATACTTTCTCCCGCTGCAGCCCTGGAGGGGGTTTGTTCCCGAGCATGTTATTAGGAGATTGACTATAATAACTGCTTACCTGCCTCCAACTCCATTCCACCAACGCTTGCCAAGCGCGCACTGTCCAAAACGGTAATAACACGCCCACCTGAGAACGGCTCCACATCCCTGGCACAGAGCTTTCCTGCCTGTGATCACATTTCATATGCGCAGCAACTCTGGACCTGGGAATGAGTGTCCCCAGGGAGGAGGAACCCAAGGCGTGATGCCTCCCACGGCCCTGTACAGCTGCAGGGTGGCAAAGCCAGGGCGTGAAGGCCCACCTTCCGACTGTGTGGAGTAGGCTGGCTCCAAGCTGTGGGATCCTAGGCAGGGCTTTTTTGGGTATCCCTGGAATAATTTTACACAGGGACTAAGGCACCGTTTTGAGCTCAAGACAGACATAAAATTCAATCCCAGGAGTCCTACTTTCTAGCAATGTGCTGTTCAGCAAATCTGACATTTTTCTCATCTGTAAAATAGGAACAATAAAAGTACCTTCTGTAAAGGGTTGTTGGAGGCATAAATGATATGTTATTTCAGGGCTGGCCCGTGGCTCACTCGGGAGAGTGTGGTGCTAATAACACCAAGGCCACGGGCTTGGATCCCTATATAGGGATGGCCGGTTTGCTCACTGGGTGAGTATGGTGCTGACAACACCAAGTCGAGGGTTAAGATCCCCTTACCGGTCATCTTCCTTTTTTTTTTTTTTTTTTAAATGATATGTCATTTACATGTAAGGAGCTTAGTACTGAGACTGTTATTAGTGAAAGTCATTTCAGAAGGTGCAGCCTCTTGGAAAATCTTGGGTCCTCTCCACCTACAGCCTCAGATGGGTTGACCATACATTCAAAAGTTCAACTCTTTCTTGACCAGCGAACAAAGCCACATCCTTATCCTCAAGCCTATGTTCCCTGATAAGGAAGGGCCTGGGCGCCATAGCTCATTTCCCACTGCTCCAGGGCCCTTGACCCTGCCACTTTGTCAGCGGTGGCTCAGCTCAGGCCACGCCCTGTCTCTGCTAACCATGACATGCATCCACATCAATCCTCATCTCAGGGCCATTTTGAGGATTAACTAATCCATCATGGGAGAGACCCTTGAAAGGTACGAATATGGCCAAGGTTATTGTCAGGCAGAGCAAAAACCGAGTGTACTGGTTTCCCTTGCTTCCAAGATTCTCCAGCTGCGCTTTACAGCTGGACTAACCCTCATGTCGGCAAAATTGCAGCGTGTGCAGGTTGCCCTGAGCTCACCAGCTGTCTGTCTGCCCCACCTGCCGCTGGACCTTTTTGATCTTATCTCTTTGTTTCTTTAAGGGACAGCGAGGGTAAGAAGATAAAGGGATCAGGATTCCAGACACTGAGGAGCTTTTGTGTTTTTTTTTTTTTTCAAAAGATGACCGGTAAGGGGATCTTAACCCTCGACTTGGTGTTGTCAGCACCACGCTCACCCAGTGAGCGAACCGGCCATCCCTATATGGGATCCGAACCCGTGGCCTTGGTGTTATCAGCACCGCACTCTACCGAGTGAGCCACGGGCCGGCCCTTGTTTGTGTTTTTAATAGAACTGAATACAGTACATTAAATTTTCCCTCTTAGCATTGACCTGTTGATGCAAAACATAGTTCTGAAATACCTTTCCAATTTTTTTTTCCTTCCTTTTTTTGTCTTTTTTCCTGACCGGTAACGGGATCGCAACCCTCAGTGTTGCACCCGCACCGCGCTCAGCCAGTGAGCGGGAACTGGTCTCCACATGGGATCCGAACCCTTGGCGGGAGCGCCACCGCGCTCTCAAGCGGTGTACTTTCCAGTGCGCCACCGGGCCGGCCCAATACCTTTCCAATTTTATGTTTTGTAAATCTGGAAGGTCCCTGGAAACCTACAGGGTACACTTTTTACTCTCTGAGGTGTGAGCTCCATAATAAAAAAAATCCTAACACAGCAATTCATTTAGTTCATCACTGAGTATTTACTGAATACCTACTATGTGTTCAGCAGTATACTAGAAGCTCACAAGGCTAAGACCCCTGAGGAAAAAAAGAGAAACTACCATATATTTAGACACACTGTACACTAGGCTCTGTGAGGCCCATTAATCATATCGTCTCATTCAAATCTCACACTCTAGAAGTAGGTTCTGTATTGTTATTCCATTTTGCTGGTGAGGAAAGAGACTCAGAAACTTCCATACTTGTCCAAGGTCATTTGCAGTAACGGGAGCCAGAATTGCAGTGCAGTCCTGTATGACTGTACCATCTGGGTCCTTCCCACTAGAATACAGTAGGGAGGAGAGAAGGACACAGATGGCTCAGTGAGTCGAGAGCACAAAGCAGCAGATTATAAAGCCTGGAGTGTACGGTGAGAGCAGGTGGGGACTTAGGAGGGAGGGACTGACAGGAGGACTTCCTGAAGGAGGCAGCCCAGAGGCTTGCTGTAAGGACCCGAGGCTCAGGGCAGGGGAGGGGGAGGATGTACCATGTCATGTTGGCCCTGGGCAGGAATGAATCTGAGTGTGGCAGACAGTGTGCCCTGAGGTCAGCTGGGTGTGGCCCGAGGCTGAGTGGTGGGAAGCCCAGCAGAGGCACCTGGACCTGATGGGCTGTAGCAGGGAGCCACTCACTGAGTTTTAGAGCCAGGGAGGGACAGAAGCAACAGCAATGCCCACCCTAGGAGAGGACAACCCCAAGCCTTGGCTGGAAGGGGTAGTGAGGCATGGCCTGGAGATGGCAGGGGCTAGGCAGGTGCCTTGGGAGGAGCCCAGCCAAGGGGAGTCTAGTCTTCCTCAACTCAGGGAAGGGGATGGCAAGGGAAGGAGAGATGCTATAGAGATGGAATCTTCCGGCTTTGATGGAGGATGCTTGTGTGGAACAATGGATAGGGAGGAGCACATTCGATCACAGATCGCTTTTGAAACTCCCCTCGGTCACATCACACGTCTATTCACAGCTGTTCAAGGTCTTCCTGTTGCCGGTAGGATCTAGTCCAAATCCCTCAACCTGTCCTGGTGAGGCCTCACAATCTGGCCTCGGTGTTACATAAGGCTGTGCTGTGACCAACTGAGCTAACCAGTCAGCCCAATCTGGCCTCAATCTACCATTCTGGGCTCCTTGCCCACTACGCTCCACCCAACTGCAGTGCTGCCCACCCTCCTCCACCTCACCCCCAACTGGCCTCCCCATAGCCCACCGGCAGCAGGACCCTTTCTGAAAACATGGCCCTAGACATCCAAGGATAGCTCCTCCAGCATGCACAGCCTTGAATAATTAACGCTTTATTGTTATTTAACTTTTGGTGTTGGTGTCTCCCTAATGTGACCATCTTGTCCTTGAGGGCTGATTCTTCTTTTCCACTAATTGTCTCAACTGGGGAAGTCATTTAGCCTTTCTGACTTAGTTTCTTCATCTGCAAAATAGAGCCAACAATGTCATGTCATAAGGTACAGTGCCTGGCACACAGGCGTTTCAATTCTTTTCTTTGGGGTGGGGGTCTCAGGTGTCCAGCTGAGAGAAGATGGGGGCCCCAGGATGCAAGGAAAGGGGGAGGACCCGGAAGATCTTGTAGGGATCCACGGGAACCCTTCACCCACTCGGACTGCCGCATTTCTGAGTCCTCTGGCATCACTCTAAGATCACTTAGAAGGAGCACGCACATAAGACGCCTTTAAGAAGCCACAAAAGGATTTCTTCAGTAAATTCAGGACGGGCTTCTTGGGGGCAGGTCCCCACCCCCAGCACCCAGTCCCGGGCTGGGAACAGCGCGGCACGTGCTGCGCGGCCCTGGCCTGTTTCCCAAGCGCGTTTCGCTGACCTCGTCTCCTTGAGGACGTTTCACGACGCTGCGAGCTCCCTCCCGTCACCTGCTCTCAGCAGAAGGGGACCCCGAGGTTCTGAGAGGCGACGTGACTCGCCCGCAGTGACAGAGCGCTAGCGCTCGGGGGGTCCGGACTGCGCGGTCCCGCCGGGATCTGCACCCCTCGGGGTGGGGATGTGGGAAGCACAGGTCCTTCAGGCTGGAGAAGGGGGCGCGGGCCCCGGGTGCCGCGGGCCCCGGGTGCCGCTCGGGAGCGCGCGCGGGGACGCGGAGCGGC